GGCGTGCGGCGGGATGTGCACGCCGGCGCGCAGGCCCTCGACGAGGAGCGCCGCGCCGCGCACGGCAAGCGCGTGCTTGAGGTCGGCAAAGGACTGGTCTGGCGGGATGGGGAGCCCCGGAGCCGGCGTCTGTGCGAGAACAGTGCCGTGGTCAAAGGCGTGCGGGTCGAGGGTCTGCAGCGAGACGCCGGTGTGCTGGTCGCCGCGGAGGCAGGCGTGGTGAATCGGCGCGGGGCCGCGTAAGCTGTTTTTTTATTCTCGTGTTGGTGAAGTGTGTCAATGTGAGTCTGCGCATGATGGAACCTACTGGGGTAGTAATGAAGGGTGGACGTTTAAGCCGCCGTACTTTGCCGAGGCGAGGATCCTAGGGGGCACAAAGAGACCAAATGACACGGCGACGACCAGATTGGTACCTTGAGGAAGCTAGATTCATCATTAGATGCCTGCGTTGCATTTGGCAGATCATGTCAAGCGGTACCGTCCAGTCCCGAAACGTCGTTCTCTCATGAATCGTCAACCCCAGCTCTTGCGCAAGCTCTTTACACGGTACTGCGGCGGCCGAATCAGCATTTTCGAGACACTTTACACGGCTTGAGAAATTTGGAAAGAAGCGCTAAAAGAAGCGCACCCGGGCGCACACAAACACACACCTTGTGCCGTTTTTTTGAACCCCCTGCCCATCCTCTTTCCCGGCTGCACCATCACTTCGAGTCGTTCCACGAGCGCCGCGTCGCGCCGGTGCTCGGCGTGCAGCGCGTGCAGCGACGCGCAGCTAAACGCGTCGGAGCCGCAGAACAGGATCCGCAGGGCCTCTGGTTGCGCCTTTGACAGGATCGCAGAGGTTGCAAAAGGCCGGCGACGCGGGGAGCAAGGTGGTGACGTGCAGGCCCGGGCAAGGCGCTGCCAGACGCCTGGCGGCGCGGCGCGTCGTACGCCGGGTGTGATGATCAACATTGGGTATGGGGGTCATAAGAGAGAGCGCATTGGTATGGGATGGGATGCGGTTGGCATCGTTTTTCGCAGTAGGGGTTGGTGTTTTGTGGCCTGTTCGTCAATGGAGATTGGAGATGACGGAGCTTGGAAGCGGATCGCGTTTGTTGCAAGCCCGCTTTAGTGCATCATCATCAATCAATCAACTCGGTTCAACCAAGATTCGAAAATGCTCAATTGAGCAGAGTGAACATGTACGGAAATTTACACATATTTTTTCTAGCTCTATCCCGACTCCACGCTCCAGTCGCACGCCACCGTCCACTGCTCCCCCAAATGCACATCCCACGCTGGCGCCGGCACGATGCGCAGCACGCAGCCCTCGGCCACCATGCGCACGCCGCTGCCTCCCGCCAGTATATACCTCTGTACCGCGGTCCCCTCGCCCTGGGCCAGTCCCCGGCCCCGAACAAGGTGCATCCGCGCGCCAGGCCGGGCTTCCTCCACGCGCAGCCGGATAATAGCCGCCCCATCACCAACACATTCAGCACCCTTCACTTCGGAGAGCAAACCCTGCAGCTGCGCGGCGAGCCCGCCCGCGAGATAGGTCGCGCCCCGGCGGCGAGGGGGGGATAGGCGCGCGGCGAGGAGCGTGCGTCCGGAGCCGCTGTGGTCCGGCTGGGCGAGTACATCGTCCTCAGGGACGGGCCTGAAGCGCGGCGCGGGCTGGAATGTTGGCTGCTTCTGTTGCGCGGGCGGTCGCGTCCTCGTCCTGTCCTCCACATCGTCGTCGGGCTCTGATTCGTAGTTTTCCTCGTAGTGACCCGTGTCGGAGTCGGAGTCGTACTCGGCGCGCATGCGCAGCCTCGGGGGAGACGCTGACGCCGACAGCCTGCGTCTCTTCACTGGCGGCGTGCCAGTATCATCTTCCCAGCGCTCCACATGCGCAGTCGCCGCGGCATCTTCGTTTCTGTCACTTGAGTAGCCCAGGCGACGTCTATCATCCTCCATCTCCACATCGCTGCTGCTGCTGCTGCTGCTGCTGCTGCTCCGCGGCGCCTGCGACGCTAGACTGTCCGCGTACGAGTCTACCTCAATCGAGTCCGACACGGCCACGTCGCGCCCGTCGACCACCGCGCTGCTCTGCGAAGACGCGACGACGTCAATCTCGTCCACCTCCTCCACCTGCCGCGTCTGCGTCGAGCCGAAGCGCGGCGTGGATTGGAAGCGCAGCGGCGTGGGCGTCGAGTGCGGGAGCTGCGACGACGGCGCGGGGCGCTTCGTCAGAAACCGCCGCGGCGTAGGAGTCTTTTTAACGTGTCTGTGTTAGCAAGCGTACGGGATATAGAGAGGAGCGCGGGTGGGAGACGTGGCTTTGCTAACTCACAGCTGGAGGCGGCTTCATCGTGAGTGGAATGCACGCCAAAGATGCCGATGCTGCCGACGCCTAGGTATCATCCGTATCGCATATTGCCGTAATAAAAATTCAATCATTCATTAAGTCTACATTGAGACAAAGGATGAGCAAACGCGCCGTTTTCGAGATGCGCGCGGCGGGATGCAGAGTCCAGGTTCGGTTGGAGTGTGCGGTCTTCTGCCAAGTGGGGACCATTTTTGGAGGCAGGAAGGCTTATTAGCACGTTGCGCATTCATGGCCAAGTTTTGCACAGAAACAAAGAATGATCAACATCTAGAGAAATGCTGGGCATTTACGACATGCTCGAGACAGACTCGCTTTTTGCAAAATCGGTTCAGTCCTGGACCGTGTAGCGCGGAAAAGATGCGTGTCCGGTCGGGTGCCATGAGGATGGATGAGGCGTTGCGTGGCGTTGTTGGTGCAGAGGTTCTAAAGGTGCTCCAAAATGGAATTGTGGCGTTTGCGACGCGTCACTTTTCGTTACCGAGCAAATTCTTCTTCTTCTTCTTTTTCATCGGGCCTTTTGCTCGTTGTTGTCGTTGCCAGTGCGCGCCACGAGGTACGTCACCTTGGTTCAACCAGCGATCCAAGGCAGCAACTTGCGATGAGTCGCGTGTTGACGTACCAGTATGTAGCTTGTGGTGTTGGAAACTGCCCACGACTCAATCAAACAATGTCGTGCTGAATAAATTGCAAGTTAATAATTAATTGAAGTAGTAATTGCGACAGCACGTGTGTAGTCTGGGATGGTGATTGGGCGTCTCCATCTGTCGCAATAGCTCCTTCTTTATTCGGAACATCAATTAGACTAGATATTGAGGCTCGGCCGTTTCTTGGTGCAATAATTCAACATCTTTAAAAAGCCACCTAAAAATCAGGCTCTCGGTAAAGTCTTGACATCCGAAGGGACTTGCACCATTCTAGGCCTGGCGCCATGAACCCTTATTATGAACTATTGCAAATTCTATCCTCTATTCTTGGACAGCGCCGAGCAGGCGTCTAGATGTCTCGATTATTCTTTCTTGGCTCTAGCTAGCTCGTTTGTTCTTTTACTCTTGGCTTTGCGGAGAGATGGAATGGGTAACTCTTCTCTTCCCCGCTGCTCCCCTGGCGTTAATTTCTTCATTATAGATGGATCACGGGATGTTGTGCACATATTGACATCCAAACAATAGTCAGTGACTAAAAGCCGGACCCCGACGCGAAATCAGGCTGTTGTCCATACTTATGCCAACTCCAATCGACGCCGCGCGTTGCGCCCCTCCTGCCCCTTTGATGTTGCAGAACAGTGGTCCGGCGAACTGGGGGCGTTGGTTGGTTCTTTGAGCAAGCTGGCTATCGGCAGTGATAGACATGCGATCGCCACCAATTTCTTAAAAAAAAAAAAAAACCTGCTCATCGATAGATTGGGTCAAAGAGGAACGCGCAAGCTTCTAGTGCCGGCGAGCCGGAGAGGAAGGAATGGACGGGAATAGAAAGCTGATCCCGAAACTCAAAATCAACAAGTATGTATTACATATTAGTGAGGTCTTGATAAAAGAATATTGCTCATGGTGTCTCATGGTGTAGGTCACACGGTTCTGTGAGTCAGGCTGCTTGGAACCTCTCAATGGGAATAGTCAATGTTTCCGGCTTTAGTTATTGTTACTTATCCACTTTCTCTCTGCATTGCCAGGACCAGTACAAATTAGTTACTTATCCTCTTTCCTTTTTGGTCTGATGTACGTCTGTAGTGTGACAAGTTCCTGGGCATTAGTAGCGGCAGTGGTTTGGGCGGCTTAATTAGGACCCCTGCTCTGATGATCCAGCAGAGCAAGTTTGAAGACAACCCAGTAAGAATCCATCATTATTGCTATTATCCACAGCACTTCTGACAACGCCAAGCTGTAGTTATGCTGCTCTGGCAATGGCCAACGAGCCCCCAAAGTCGCAGCATCCTAACAGTTGTTCCTTGTGTGGTGACTTTTGGCTTATTTTTGTCTGGACTAGCTGTTGGATCTACAAGACTAAAAAATTCCCGCCTTTTAGCTCCCTTGTAGACTGTAACTAGTGAACAACTACGGGCATTGCTCGACTGGCGTGTTGCGCGACACGCACACTCTCTGACGCAGTGAAACGCGGCGCCACTGCCCCTGAAGCAAACTACACAATTCCCTGTAGATCAATTGCAGTTCTGCGGCGTCTACCAAAGTTTCAAGTAGAATACCGGGGAGAACGCATGATTGGGGGAAAGGTATGGTGACTGTAGTTTTGGATGCGCATTGTGACTTGGGCTGCTCTGAGCTTTACCAAACGACTCGCTAGGAAGCACCTCACCCGCCAACGCAGATCAAACCGCAAGTCGAACCACCCGCCACGTTCCTATTACAGGGAATTTCATGACAAAATGGCAAATAATACGTAATACATAATACTTCCGGCTGCCAACGCCATGGTACGACGGCGCGAGCGGGACCTTGGTGGAACAGTGCTGTGGGCCGTCCAAGAGAAGCGATTCAGCATGGAACTCCAGTGTAATAAGAGCGTGGTCTTGTCTTGTCTTGTCCATGAATACATAGTCAGTCCCTCTGTCAGTGGAATATCACTGCATGACTGTTCAGTGGCAGGGTTGCGTGTCGGCTGGTACTTATCGGGCATTCATTTCCACCCACCGTTGCCGATAGCGTCATCCGGTTCTCGCCAGATGCGTAGTGCGCCCAGCGTTTTACTTCTAGTTGATCCGCCGTTGGAGCTTCCATAATAAGAAGCATCAGACAAAGTAGGGCCCCAGTGATTTTGTTTACGTCTGCCCATCCTAATACCAGCTCTCGCCCATGCATATCCCCAGAGGCGTACGTGTACATCAGATGGGCAGACCAAAACGTGCTCGATTTATTGAACTTAATAAATCGCTCTATAGTATTCCATATACCATCTTCTTATCTGTTTTATCCTTCTAGTCTTTCTTACCATTGCCCTCTTTGTTTTCTTCATTCTCTCTTTTCAACTGGTGCTTTCTCCAATACGACCCTGCCATCTTCCAAACGGGGACCGAATAATCCCCCTTTTAGATACCAATTTCACTTTAATAATTCAGAGGACCGTGCGACAAACTTCTTTTCAAGCCAAAAGGACACGCTATTGACTGTGCGAGCGTCTTCAGTAAGCCTCGCCACTCGGTGTCGAGAACGCCCTGGTAGGTGTTGCGCGCCGTTTTCGCCTACATGCTTCCTGCCAGCTGCTGCAAGCTGCAAGCCTGAGCGACAGCAATTGTCGCTGTTTGCATCAACATCACCTTCGTTTCCTCAAATTTTCTCTTCAAATTGCATCCTAAAATTCCTCGTGCCTCTATCTCCTCTCTTTTCTTATTCGGCCGCGCCTACGAGTACCCTGAGCGATCGCTCCTCAGTTGGCACAGATACCTCGAGTCCAGTACGACATGGACAAAATGATTCGACGACCTAGCAGGCTCGGCCGCTCAAGGCTCCCGGGCTTCAAACCTCGATTCTTATTATTTGCTGCCGCCATGGCCTTTACGACGTGTTTCTTCTTCTTCACCCGCTCAGCAGATTTGCGCATCGTTCCTTACGTCCACGACAACGGAAAGTCATACGGCTTAAACCTGTTTGGGAGCTCGGAAAAGCCCTTGATGGACCCAACAGATAAAAACAACGGAGGTGCCATTCCTTACTGGGAGCTCAGTGCCAGCGACATCAAACACTGGAGCGATCCTGACGACCGCGAAGACCCAAACGAAGTCCAGCCGGGGACGGAGCAAGACGGCACTCAACGCGGCGCAGACGAAACGAGCAAGTTACAGGACGAGAAAGACAAGCGCAAGCTCTGGCGATATCTTTACAGGGCGACAGCCAAGTAAGACGGACTTGTCACGCTTTCCTTTTTGCATGCTGACGATTTGAAGCCTGAAAACCTCTAACCAGATCTACGGCAAGACTTTGGCTACACTCAGCAATAAAGATAACCGAACCGATGAGCATGCCAAGAAGCTCGTTAGTAAGCCTGACACCAGCATTAAAGTCAGCTATAGCATGGACGAACCTGTCTATTTCGATCCTTACCCAAGCTACAACAGCAAAGAATGGCAGGCCGACGGGTACGCACCCCACGTTGCGTGCAAAGGCGCAAATGGAAGAGAGATTGAGGACCTGAAGGTATTCAAAGGCCGCCCAGAAGACTTTCCCACGCACCTCATGGGAAGCTACAAAGCACTCAACCTCGATCCCAACATTTGCTGGGAACGCGAGACTCGACTCGGGCCCTATGGACTACATGAACAGACGAAGCAAGTTGGTGGCCGTTTACAAGCCCTTCACTGGGATAACGTCGACTGGGGCAAACTGCAGCGTGTCTGTACTAAGAGCAACGCAAAACGTTATAGGAATAACGTGAGCCGCTATAATCCATACCTTGCAGTCTACCCCGAGACGCAACGCTTCATTCCCGCTCCGTCAGCTTCTGAACAAACGCAAATCTCCATCAATGGTAACGGCAAATCACACGACCACAGCGTTAAAGTCCGTGACTCTCAGTCGGAGGAGGTAGCGTCATCTGAGGCGGCGGCAGCCGACATCACGCCACAGTACAAGACAGAGAATCGCACTGCCCTTTTGTTGCGCTCTTACACGGGAAAAGGGTACACCGAAAACGACAAACAAACCATTCGCTCTCTTATTTCTGAACTTGCTTTAAAATCTGGCGGCGAATACGAAGTATTTCTACTTGTTCATGTCAAGGATGGCTCCAAGGATATTTTCAAGAACCAACAAGACTATTTGCAAGTTTTGTTCGAGCATGTCCCTGTCGAATTTCACGGGATTACTGTCCTCTGGAATGATCAATCCGTCAAAGAGATTTACACCGAGATGAAGGATGACAATGCACGAGACGTCCACCACGCGCAATGGCTATCGGTTCAAAAGTTTAGCTACGACCACCCGGAATTTGAGTACATTTGGAATTGGGAGATGGACTTTCGCTACACTGGCCACCACTATGATTTGCTCGACAACATCCATAAATTTTCGCAAAAGCAGCCCCGAAAGGGCCTCTGGGAGAGAAACGAGCGTTGGTACGTTCCTGGATATCACGGTGACTACGACACGACTTTCCGAGAGTCAATCGAACAGCAATATGGTGACAATATCGTGTGGGGTCCCCCAGACCTGCCGTTTATCAAGCCCCAAGGACCAAAGCCACCGAGGGCCTCGTCCGAGGATAACTACGAATGGGGTGTTGGAGAAGACGCAGACGTGATTACCGTCGGACCCATGTTCAACCCCGTCCACAGCCTCTGGATCATGGCGGACCACATCTGGGGCTACAGTGATGAGAACCACAGAAGGGAGGACATTCCCAGACGAACTACCATTGTCACGCACTCCCGCATCTCAAAACGGTTGCTCAGCCTGATGCATACCGAGAACATGCGAGGCAACCACGTCGCCTCCGAGATGACGCCGCAAACGATCGCGCTGCATCACGGACTCAAGGCCGTATTTGCCCCCCAACCAGTCTTTATGGACCGCGACTGGACCGGCTCCTTCGTCAACAAGTGGTTTAATGCTGGGCCGGGCGGTGTTTCTGGCAGCTATGGCAGCGCCATGGGTTGGGGCCGCGAGCGTCGCTACCAGGGCACTACCTGGTACTATCGTGCGGAGCCTCCCAATCGCCTCTTCAACAACTGGATGGGCTGGGAGGACACGGGTATCGGCGGCGCCAGCTGGGAGCAGTACAATGGGCGCCCGTGCTTACCTTCCATTATGCTGCATCCTGTCAAGAACGCTGAGCCAACGAAGAAGGGCCATGCATCCAGCTTTGATCTTGGCTACGGCTAATATTGCTTCCATCTCCTCAACCAGGCGTCATTTCAGACGACCTCAGACTCACCTTGAAAACCCTGTACATTTTTATTATTCACCTCACATCATTCATATCAAAAACGTGGTAGCTTCAACCTTCGCAAGCTCTACATATTTTGAACCAAGCAACCATTGGATAGAGCAGCCTGGTGTTGTTATTCTTCACTTCTTGTTATTTTCTTCTTTCCAAGTTCTCTGTCTCATTGGTTTTCTGTTTTCAGTCCCTAATCGGTGGCAATTTTCGGCATTTTTTTCCGTCGCGTTGGGTGCAAGTTGCTCTGGTGTGAGTACCATGTATGGACTTTGTTTAAAAAGCTTGTTGCAGGACGGCCGTATCGCGATAGAGTATAATAGTTGAAGACTCTTTTGAAATAGAACATGTTCAAAACAGGTCGTTGCTTACTTTTTGGTGATGCATGTTGAAGCTGTTGCTGTGGGCGAGCCCTGGCCGCAACCAGAAACTGGGTAGCCTGGGTGAGGAGAGCACGTATCAATCTCGCGATACGATTTTGAGACAGAGAAGTAATGTAAAGGCTTACCCCTAGCCCAGCATTGCCATGTACCACTTTCCACCACCCGTTCTGTCTCGAGACTGCGGCGGTATGCATGACCGATGCTATGCTCTACACCATTTTCGGCGGCGATCCCGATATTACCAGCACTATAGCAGCCTTGGATTGCAGCAATGACGAATCATGCCAAGCGCCGCTGGATATTATATGGGCTCGTGCTGTGGCATTCGGGTTGGGCTGTACATGGGGAATTGATACATGAAAGAAGAGCTCGTCTTCATCACCATTGAAAAGGATTGTGTATTTACGCAGCGTCATTGCAGAGGTGTATCTCCAAGCAGACTTAGCTTGTGGTGTGCCTTGGAGAATTGGGTGTCGATGTGCAACATCCCGACCGAGGTTACTCGACATACCTCAGCCGAGTGTGGAGTCAATCATACATTATCAATATGTTATGCAAAGTCACATTCCGTGAATCTCCTCGAAAACAGTACTTCTCAAAATCTTGCCTTGCTAAACATGCACAGGTCGAGCAAATTCAGTTTGTTCACACCGAGGCTGTCCAGGATTCGCTGCAGACCAACCGAGGTTTGCTTCCAACGCTGACCCGACTGTGGACCGATCCTAGCATGCTTTCTATAAAGGGCGAAAGGGGACAAAGCCAACCCTCAGGTGATGTAGAACACGCTGAGAGACGAACTCACACTCGGGTCAGGCTTCTGGACCAACCTCTGTTGATGTCTCGCCGCGCAATAGGAGCGCGTCCCGGAATACTGACAAGGGAATCCACACTCGTGTCAGCGATTCGAACAATACTCGGGTGAGATTGCACGCTACTTGGTCTCGGCCAAGCAAACATACAAGATGGCTGAGCCAAGAGTCCACACTCGGATGAACTTCTGGACAACCCTCATTTGATCTCAGGCCGGTCCCTTGCAGCGCACACCAAAAAGCTGAGAAAGTAAATCCACACTCGTGTCAACTTTTTAAGCAACACTCGGTTGAGCTGCACGCTACTCGGTCCAGGCCAATCAGCGCTTGCAAGATGGGCTGGGCAACGAGCCCACACTCGGATGAACTTCTGGACCACACTCGGTTGATGTGCCGCGCTCGTCAAAGACGAGGAAGAGAACCCACACTCGTGTCAACTTTCTAAGCAACACTCGGTTGAACTGCACGCTGCTCGGTTCAGGCCAATCAGCGCTTGCAAGATGGGCTGGGCAACGAGCCCACACTCGGATGAACTTCTCGACCACACTCGAATGAACCTCTCGACCACACTCGGTTGATGTGCCATCACGCGCTTGTCAAAGATGAGGAAGAGAACCCACACTCGGGTCAAGTTCCGAACCTCGCTTGATGCATGCTGGGCATTCCGGACCAGAAAGCTGAGAAAAAGCCCACAATCGGGCCAGTTCTGAGCCACTCTCGTTCGATGTACCGTTGAGCAAACTAGGTCATCAGCCAGCACAGATTACTACAAGAAATGAGAGTCTGGTCAAGTCTATGCGATGTCGACAACCCGATTCCATTTTTCACAAAAAGACGCTCGCGCCAGAGCCCTTCCCTTCCAAAGCTGTAGCGCAGCCATGTGTAATATTGCCGCCTCTCAGGCATCACATTGTAGAGCCAGGACACATCTCATCTCATTTGAAACGGCTCAGAAAGCGAACATGTCATTGAACAAAACGTATATTATTCGCATAATACAACATGTCAGGGTGAAGGACTGTCAAGAACCAACCTCGCAAGGCTGCGTAATATTGTCCAAAAAAAAAACCCCATAACCCCTCCCCAGTACAGAGAACGAACCCAACATAAACAACAACTCTCAAGATAATTGAGTAATAGAACATAAACGAAGAAAAACCTGTCATGATCAAATAAAAAAAGTATAAAGCCCTAACCATTAACATGTGCTTTTCCAAAAACAAAAAATAAGAAGAAGTGAACAGAGAGCGGTTTTGACGAATCCGAGAAAACCTCGCGCCTTTCCTATCCCTTCTTCGATATTACAAAATCGCGACACCGTAATAGTCGGTAGCAAACGGGGTATCATAAACTGGACAGAAGCGTGTTTCGTAATTGTGCTCGTGTCCAGTACTCGGTATCAATATGGTATAGTAGCGCGCCACGCACGTCCGCGAAGGAGAATCTACATCTCGCCGAGGCGTGTCATGCGCTTATTGAGGCGCCCACGTGGCGCCACGCCGTACGGGCCTCTCTCCATGCCGGCGCCCACGCCGCGGCCGGCCAGTCCGCCTCTGCCGCCACTGCTACTCTTGGGCAGCGGGGCTGTCGCTTTCGGCAATGCTTGGCTGCTACTGCCGCTGCTGCTGCTGCTGCCGCGGCTGCTACTGCTGATTTTTCTGCCGTGGTGGACGTCGAGCAGTGCAGCGGGCGACAGCGGCGGGCCGGCCTCGCTCTCAACACGGCGCCAGGCGTCGCGCTCGCAGTACGACTTGCCGTCGACCTCAAAGTAGCCGTCCGACAGGGAGACGCCGCAGTCGAGGCAACGGAAGCAGCCGACGTGGTACTTAACGCGGGCCTCGTCCTCGACGTATGCACCCTCGATGCCGCGGTCGCAGGCGCCGCACAGGCTGCCGTTGAGCTTGTGGTAGTGGGATTCGCAGTAGGGCCGGTCGCGGTGGACGTAGAAGACGGCCGAGGAAAAGGGCCGCGCGCACGTCGTGCACGTAAAGCACGCCTTGTGGTACTTGCCCGTTAGGCGGCCATCGGCCGACGAGATGCTCTTGCCGGTGATGGGCGCGCCGCACGCCTTGCAGTCGCCGCGCGACGAGGGAGTATGCAGGCCGTCGCGGGAGCTCTGGCGGATCGGTGCGGATAGCGGTGGCCTCATGCTGTCGCCGTAGCGATCGGATCGGGGGTTGGCGCTACGGCCGCTGCCGGAGATGCCGGACTGGATGGCCGGATCGTAGCGGTCATCACGGGGTGACGCGCTGTAGGGGGATTCCAAAGCCCGCGCGGGCTCGCGTCGGGGCGCCTGGATGGCTGGATCGATGCGAAGTTCGGGGCGCGCACTCTCGGCGCGTCGCGGCACTGGGTCATTGTCGGGCTTGGGCGCCTGCTGGGGGGGCGGGGGCCGAGGCCGGGCTACGGGTTCCGAGTTATTTCGCTGCATGAAGCGATCGGGGTTGCTCTTGGTCGACGCCAGGTTACTGTGGTCGCTGTGCGAGGAGTATCCGGAGGACGTTGAGTCGGTCGGGGTGTGATATGGATTGCGGACGCCAAACTCCTTGTCGAGATCGACCGAAGAATTGCTAGCACTGTGTTTGATGAGACTCGTACGGGGAGGCGGGCGTCGCGTTGTATCAGGTCGCATGGACAGTTTGCGACTGACATCGCCGCTTCGTGGCAAAGGTGCTGACGGGCGACGCTGCACATCAGATGGCGGTCCGAGGCCTGATGGCGAACTTTCAGTCGTATCATTGGAGGTGGAAGGGCGCGGGAAGGTCTCTGCGCGCGTCATGCCTCGGGGGGCATTCTCACTAGATGCCGAGTTGTTGAAACCGCCGTAGCCATTCTTTCGCAAGGGAGGCTTCTGCTCGCTCCTCGCGGGAGCAGCAGCAAACTCAGGCAGCACAGGGCTCTCCGGCAATACAGGGCTTTCAGATGCCGGCGGCCGACGACCGGCGTCGAATGCAGCACCAGCTAAATTATTTATACGTTGCAAGAATCCGGGTGCCTCCTTGGCAGTCTCGGGCGCTACTGGTGCTTCGGTTGGCTTCTCCGGCGCAGGCGTCTCAGCCGGCTTCGTAGCCGGCTCCGCAGGTCGAGCACCAAACCCCCCGTACCCGCCAGCGAGCTCGCCCACTCGCTGAAAGAAGGATGTTGCGGGTGCTTCCTTTTGTGGCGGCTCCGACGCCTCGGTGCTCTCTGGCTCTGGTGTCTGGCTGCCGAAGCCGCCATAGCCTCCGGGGCGAGCGCCGTAGCCGCGGGGGGATCGCTGTCCGTCGTCTGTGTTGGCGATTTTGGGGGCATAGTCATCATTGTATCGCCTGCTTGCCTCGGAGCGTCTACTTGGCGTTTTGGGCGACGTGTCGCGGGAGCTGCTAGCATGACTGACTGGTGTAAGCTGGTCTTGGCTCAGATATCGGTCTAAGATAGTGTGTTAGTCAATATGCCAGATGCCGCGCAACTTTGAAGAAAATTCGGGGAGCAATCGTACTTGCGGCTCCGGTATCTACTGGAGGTGGCGTTCGTAAGTATTTGGTGCGCGTGGCTTGATATACGCTTGAAAAGGTTTCTTGGGCCTCAAGGGGAGGAGATACTGTCGTCTTGTCAGCTTCTGGACGGATTGTTACGGGTCGAAGCGCCCTACATTCCGGAGTTGCTGGAGCATTGCACAAGTGCTCTCCCATGAGAAAGATTTCCACCTCATTTCCACATTGTGAGCACTTGATGGTCGGCATAAAGGCCGACTCTCGCGGCAAGGCCATGGTGTGCTGGTCGGGCCTCGCCGATCAATTCTGTCGAGTGACGACAAAATAGGGTGGTAGGTCCTGCTATGGCTCTGCAAACCCGGACATTTGCTGTACAAGGCTGCGTAGATTTTGCCGTCGTCGTTTTGGAAAAAAAAACGATGCAGCGGCTACTGGTTCAAACGTTTGAGAGGCTGTTCGTGGGGGACGTGACAACCGCTTATTAGTGAAGGCGACTGCGTGCGTTCTTCCTTTGTTCTGCTGCCAATCAAAGGAAAGAAATAATTATCGCCAATGAATGATTCACCGTCGTGACAGTGTCGTGTTCGTTGTTTAGCACAGTCGGGGGCCTGAGTCGAAAAGTCGTGTTTGCATGTGTAGGTGGATAAAAGCTGCGTGGTGTACTGGGCCGAGGGGCAGGTGCTAAAGTGGTAGAGTGCTCAAGGCGAGTTGAAACAAAGGGCGCATCAAACGACAAGCACAAAATCCAAGGGGGAAAAAAAGCCGGCTGTGTGGTATGGGAATGAGGAAAGAAGAGCAAGAATTCGCTGGTTTGAAGAAAAGAGAGTTTTTGGAAACAAGGCCAGTCAGAAGGACAAGTCGTGGTGATGCGAATAGTGGCGGCTGGCCGGGGTAAGCTCAGGCCAGGCCGGTCCCCTGACCCTGAGGCGGGTGGGTTGCTCCAGCGCTCCGCCCGCCCCAGTTGGAGGAGGTTCCTGGTGGTACTGTATCGTATGGTATTCATTCGTGTTCATTTGTACAGTGGTACGGAGTACTTGGATCAGCCTGGTCGATAGTTGCACATGCGTTGTGTGTGCACGGATACAATACAACCACAGTTGTGGTTGCTCTTGTGCTCTAGTTGCCAGTACTAGTTCAAGGTTCAGGCGCTTCTGTGCGGGCGGTGTTTACTAATTCCCAGGAACCTCGGCGCCCTCTGCCAAGTACTGTCTGTACGTACCGAACAAACGGGCTCTTACATACAAACCCAAAATACGAATCACAAGTATTAGTTACTGCCAAGTGAATAGTACTTGCCCGCAGTTGTGCTCTCTGTACAAGCAGTTGCCGTCTACCTATCAATGGTCATGACGTGTCCAGTATAATGTATATATCAACAACTACCTAGTTACTGGTACTACCAACCAATACTGCCAGAGACATTCTCGCTCGCAGTCCCCCTTTCCTCACACGACAGAAGCAAGACAAGAACAACACTTCACGAGCGCAAAACCACCAGCTCCTCGTCTTCAGCTTAAAAAAGGAAATTACACTTGCCTGCAGAGATTAACCGACAGCGCCGCACCCACTGTTTTTCGCAGTAGCGCCGCTGGGCCTTTTCAGTCCGGCCGGTACCTGAAATTGCACGGACATGGCGCGCATAGTGCCAGGTACTAATTTTATCCAGCAATAGCAACAGTTTCCAACTAGTTGATAGTTACTTCGGCTGCCCTTGTTTGGGTTGCCCTTTCCCTCCTCGTGTCGTGTGCCCAACGCCTCGTTGACCTCCTTCTAGCCGAGGGATAACGCCACCACACGGGAGGGGTAACTTGAAAAACGTGTTTGGCAGGCGAAACATTGGTGAAAAGAAGACATTTGTCGGCTCTCTCCCCAATGTACGGATTCGTAGTTATGGGCCTATGCTGTCTAGTTTGAATCATTGTATCAGCATGTTGACCAATGAAGCAGTTACCCCCCTGTCACGACAACCACCCCTCTTCAAATCGCTTCGACTCGGTGCTGGTGCGAACCGAACCGACACTAACTAAAATGCCACTTTAGATGGTTGCAATGCGCGGAACAATGTCTTCATCCGCCCTGATATGGAATGCGCGCTGATCAATCGCAACTAGTTGGTAGTTGCCGAGAAGCTGGAATGCAATACAGCTCATTGCACAGGATACTCGATTCAACAGACAAGAACACGGTGTGGATCGGCCTTTGAATTGATGAGCTAGTCTAGTTATTTTTCTCCCCCCTGGCCCGTTCGTGACCAGGTTCTCATCGACCTGGTTGGATTCGGATAGCCCAGACGCCCAGGCCATCAAAACAGATTTGACCCCTTTGTAGCCAAGAAGCTTGGTCCTGTGATGTCATTGTGGTTGCATTCTTCTATGCCCTAGCGGGATCAAGTACCACAGCAACAGGTAAAGTAATAATGGCTGTCCTGTTGGCTTGTTGATATGAGGAATCGATATACGCAGCCACGTGTTAAGAGTTATTAGTGATATTGGCGCCGCGTTTCAGGATGCTGCAAGGCATTAAGTAAAAGCCCGTCTGTTGTAGGGAGTAGAACTCCATCCTTTGGACGTACCTTTTGATGGATACTAAGTTAATTACCTTGCTTCTCGGTCTTGTGCCCAGCAGCCAGCCAACCAGCGGTCCCGATCCAACCGAATTCGAGGCCCCTGTTCCGCCGACTTCAGGGGAGGAACCCGCCCGTAACAGGTGTTAATAGGTAGGTACATATCTACAGCTCGATAATCTCGCTCCATCGTCTCATCCTTCATGAATATAAGCATTTCAAGAAGGGCTCAAAGATCGAAAGCACGCCATTTCACTTTATTCCTTACTGGAATTCGATATGCTTCTTACTATTCCACATACCAGGATCGTCAAGTATCGGGCTGCCCTTTTTGCACAAAGCCGTGGCCCCTGTCGCAATATCACTCTTTCTCACAGCGACAATAATAAATAATGACCAGGCAAGCTCCCCATGGTGCAAATTACAAGATCGCGGTGTGTTGCCAGCCCCCAGGCCGCGCAAGCACTCTCGTGACGCAGGCTATTAGTAGAGCACTGCAAAGTCGAGATGTGTACAAAGTATCCGTACGCCCTCTCAACGCATCGCTTTCACACTTGCAACACCTGTCTATCCTCTTCTTGTCACAGTTGATCGTCATCTCGAATTTCCCCACACTTTGTCTGGTATTGCTGTCCGGATACAAATGCGTCAAGTTGTCGGGGTGCACAGACAAGCGCCGCGCCGATTTTGTGCCCTCACCGACTGCAGGCAACAGGCAGAGCCTCATGGTTGCTTTTTCCCCCTGCTTGCATGATTGATCTGCTGCGATTACACAAACGCCGGTGAGTGGGCTGCATGTGATTGCAGCTGCGTGCAGAACCCCGAAGATTCTCGCGAACCTTGTCACTGCACTCTCGCTTGGGATACATCATAGTTATTTACCAGTAACTAGTGACAGCTTTATTGGCCTCGAGGCCTAGAATCTGGGCGTGTCCATTTCCGGTATCTCAGGCGTCATATCGCGATTATTGTAATTATGGTGCCCTGCTAGCGCCCGCTCTACCCATGCAGCACATTTCGGTGCACAAGGCGCTTAATTGTCCATGCCTGTCGATTCCTTGTCCGACTTTCAACCCTGTCTTCTACAACGGAAAGACTTTATCTCTTAACTAGTTATTGGCGCTACATACCTTGAAAATGAGGGCCCGTTTCCGATCTTTTCTCTTCTTTTTTTTTTTGGCTAGGCGTTTTAGGAGCTGAAGCAAGCAGGGGGTCTTACCCAACAGACTTCGATTATTGATCTCTGGCTTTCTTTGATAAAGAGCATCGTTGGCAACAAGCCAGCATATGAGAACCTGATCAAGAATCGATTCATTCGCAACCCTGTAGGGTGAAACTGGCGTGTTACGAAGCTGCTACAGAGTCACTCATCGGCAACGCCGTTTGTCCTGCGACCTGCGCATGAGGACTCCATCCGTTTCGCAAACATTTTGAAGAAACACGAGTGACTTTGTTGAATCACATGGCCGTTAAATTGTGACCTATATTAGGCTGCAATCGGACTTGGAAGTGTCCTGACGTCACAAGTTGTTGACACGAAACGCCGGTATCATGATACGCCGGAGCAGCGGTCAGCGGGCCACGGCGGTTAGCAACTGAGCCTCTACAGGTGGCCTCTACGAGTCGTGGTTTAATGGATTTAGTACTGGGGGGTATTCACATTAGTAGTAGCTTTAGGCATGATGGTAAAGTTCTCTGGATTGTAATGAATGTCAGTACTGGACCGTAGCGTTGGAAGCCGTGTGAGAAGCAACCTCGGCGCCTACCATGGGTTGCCTCTGTAAGCGACGGAGAAAATATTGCACACTCCCCAAGAAGAATTATCGGACAAATACGATAGCGCTTCGGATAACCTGCTACCGGTCTCCATGTCATCACAAGTGACAGGCAGCACTGTCAGTTATGAGTGCCGGGTAGCTGCCACTCCAGCAATCTGCAGCAAGGATGAAACGCCCTCCACGTTTCTTCGACACGCACACGAGACATGTACGGCAAATCAGGTTCATGCAGGCTAAAGAGCCGCTACCCCATCATCTGTAACATATTCTCCATCTTTTTTCCACTGTCGCGTGACGACATTGTCTCGACACAATTCCTCCGCCGACGAGTGTGCCGGTCGCCAAGCCCCGGCGAGATCCACCACACCGGCCGGCGCAGCAACCCGGAGGCCCGTACATTTGTCCCGCATCTCGGAGCCAGGTCCGAATAGACGGCAACGAAGTGCCTGCAATGCACGACCCACGTGTACCACGCTGCGGTTTTTGCGCCACAGCCAATGACGGCTGAACTATTCTTGTCCCTGGGGCTGCTCAGCCACGCCAAGCCGCGTTGACAGGAACCCGCAGGCCGGGGCCCCCTCCGCGACGGCCCACGGCGAGCCAGATCGAAACCTAACGCGACTGGTGTAATTGATAGTTGGACGCTGTTGAAATCTAATTACAGACTGGAGACTGGTGGCTGCACTCACACAGGTTGCTTACGCGTCCCGATCGCTCCATTTGGGGTGCCAGGTCAAGGGTGTGCAGTGACGTTCTATATTGGCACGGCTGAACGATCCCGATACTGCCGTCTTTTGACAGATCCAAAGCCAATAGGCTGACTCGGGCCGTAGATGCGAATGCCAAGACTGGCAGGGCCCCAATAGGACGCCCACTCCCATTTTGACACGCCGCCACGAAGACAACAGTTGGTTTGTTCAAGCTACGCACTCACAGCCGTACGTGGGAGAAGGAGATGTACTGTGGTGCGCAGCTACCGGTTTGGGCACGTGGTAGTCTTCCTATTGTTGTCAAGAGGCAGAAATGAGGCCCACGAAGGATGGCTGGCATAGCGCCAGGGAATGTCGTAGCACAGGTATGCGAAGGTCCGGCAACGGGGCTATTCGTGCTCTAACAACGAAGCAGATTTATTTCAAAATATCGTACGATTGCATGAAAAGGCCACGAAAGGGATCAACAGGGCGCACTGAGTCCGGTCGATGGCTGGGCTTCAAAGGTCGAGCCCAACGTCCGAGAATGCTTGCGCATGTCTTAAACAGCGACATTCTGCCTCCTCGGAATCCCGATAAATGCCATTATCGGTGCAAAAACACACTTGTATGAGGAGATGCAAAGGCAACCATACATGGAGTAGTACATGCGGTTCTGCCGCCGCCACTCTCTCTCCGTCGAAGGCCGGCGGAAACCAAGTTCGACAAGACTCAAGAGGCTCACACGCCATGAAAGTCTCTTGCGGCGGCGTGCCAGGGGGGATCCAATCACGTATGCGTCTCTTGTGGCGTTTTATCCGACATTCGACGGACGGGGCGAGGGCCCATTCACCAAAGGAGCTAGACGTTCAAGGCCACGCAAGCCGGGCCGGGGACCATATAGTCACAAACCTTCGGCCATTGCGCTTGCTTTCTACTTTTTCCATCTTTCACACAACTTTACATTCATACAACTATTCTTTACCGACCTGTCCCGTCAATCGAGATGCTTGTCAAGACGTCGACGGTGCTCTGCGCGCTCACCGTCGTGGCATACGGCGCGCCGAACCAGCTGCCCATCGACAAGCACCGCCACTCGGCGTCGATCGGGATCCCATTACTATCCGCTGCGGCACAGGTTCCAACACGGAAGCGTGCCCGGCGCGCTACAAGTGCACGGCGCCGCCCAACTGCGAGCGATACTTTCAGGGCGTCTACTACGAGGGCTGCATCGGCACCTGCGTCCCCGACATGCCGCCCATCTAAACCGCCAGTCGATGGATGGGCGAAAAAAAGAACAACAAAATCTTGCTTTTCTGAACCTGCGGCGTCAAAGGAAAAAAAAAACATGATTACAATTTCCCCTCTTCGGTCAGACGACTGACTGACTCGCTATCGACGACATCGGCAATCAACCTTGCAAGATAGAGTTTGACGCGTCAGACTAATGAAGGCCGGATGTGGGCGGGCGCGTAACCCCCCCACATCCCGATAACATGGGGATCGAACGAGACAGAGGTTTTGCTTGCGTTTATTTACTGAAATTAATTAGCTTTGTATTTCTATTTGATATTTTTACTGGGTTTCGGGGGACTCGATGGCCTGGTGGCGAGCCAGCCGGCAGACATGGCATTGCGTTTTTTATCAAGATACCACAATTATATACCACTATACACTGTACGGGAATAAACACATGAAATCACTCTCTCTTCAATTAAAGGAAGTAACTGACGGATTTCTATATCAATATCGGGCTGCATCGAGTGATGCTTCATCGTGAGCTAGCATCTACCAAGCCAAGACGGAGGCTACATTGACAATACGAGCTGTCAGGCGGCAACTGGGTCGGGAATGCAGATAGACGAATCGGGGAAAAGTACAATAAGCGATCCGTTGGTTGAGGTGAGCTATGTATGTACGAATTGTGTGGTACGGAGTGTAGTATGGATAACTAGTATGGCGCAGCACTGTGGGGGACAAAATGCCTGCCGAGGTATCTTGGGGGCGGGTTGCCGTAGCTAAAAATGGCATCCCGCAACATGCTTCCGCATACGACCACGGGATGACGTTGGTTTTATAACCTGCAGCTAGGTTCAATTTGCCAAGTTCATTGGCCGCAGGCATTCTTAATAGAATTGCTGTAAAATTGACAAGATGTCGGCTGATTCAGTTTCAAAGCGGCGCCCTGGTGACGCGGCCCTTATTTCTGCGGCGCCAGCGATGGCCTAGATAGGCTAGGTTCGGGGAATACAGCGCGGCTCTCATCCTCGGCACATCAATCATTCAATTGAGTGGCTTTGAATAATTCGTCAGTTAGGATGAAGCTGAATCGACAGTGCGGGTGTGAAGTTGACAAGAGCGGTAAGTGGAGGACTAGAGGCACTAAGATGGCCGTGATCGCAAGCGTCGTTGGCAGAGGAAGAAAATAACACCCGAGGCACAATGATAGCAACTATTTGGAGTCGAGGGCTAGGGTAACTAAGGGTAGCAGCCTCTTTTGAAAATGACCATTGGGCACGCGACGAATATGAAGAAATCTCCGCATAAAAACAAGTGTCGGCCCACCTTGGTGACCTGCTGTGTGGGATGTGGCAGCAAGCTGAGCCGAGCCGAGCTGTTGATGATTGCTATGAAAAAGAAAGGCGCATGTTGGTAGCTTTGATCCTCTCGTGACAGCCGGACCGACATTTGAAGTGTTGGGGCGGCGATGCTGGAAAATACGGGGGGGTCGTGTGCCCTAATATGGTCTCCGTACATCGGAAGAGTTGAGAAGATGCAGGGGAAAAGGGGACGAGGCAAGATGCGCGGTTCATGGGGGCGGCCACCTGGCGGACTACAGATGCTTTCATTTGCGGTTTTCTACAAGTGGTGTTCCGGGACAGTTAACTACCTCCAGGTACCTAGTAATAATAGGTACCCTTCCATTTGATGGCGCAGAGTAAAGTTTGAACCTTGGTTTTGAGAATTCTTTGGTTTAGCTATGGCGCATTTCATATTTTTCTCTTTCCATTTTCCGTCAATAATATGTAGTAAACATCGGTCACGACACAACAGGCGGCCTCTTGCCGCTCCCAATCTTCTCAATAGGGGAACAGCAAGCATGACCTCGCCCGCAGCCTGCCAATGTCTGGGCTGTGCGTGCTCACTGCTCACTCACCGCTTGACCGCCTCTGCTGGACACTTTCACATTTGCATCAATGGCGCTGATAGCGCATTCGACGGCATCTGCTCAAACCACTAACAACCTCTAAATGCTGCTCGACGTGGGGCACCTGCGAGGGGTTCTGCCCGCCACGGCCGGGACAGGCACCAAGGGTTCGACCTCTCTTGTTAGCGAGATACCTCGCTTCTGTCTGCAAACTGTCCCAGCTCCCCGCACAAAGTACCCCACTAGCGAGGTACCGCCCTCGCACTCCGCCGCCCATCAGATGGTTCCAATGCAGCCAAGTGCCGCCCACCAAAAAGGTTGAGCCCCTCCAAAAGTCCATGTGCCTGTGGCCTGTTGCCGTCATTTAATTTGTATATTTACCCAGCCCGAGCTTCCCGCCCCGTTCCCTCCCGACTTCTCTTCTTCCTCACCCAACTACCAAAACACAATCAATCTCTAAGCTATCGTCTCTTTTGAGCACACTACAACCCAACCACCAACCAAATCCAGTCTCGTCGTCCATTGCCTGTCGCCAGACTTGTCTCCGTTTCAATCCACCTTAAAAAACACACCCAAATCTTCTGATCGAGGCATCTATTTGCTCGGTCCCTAAAGTCGCCAAGACGTTTTCCAACCTCCTCAACTCGTGAGTAAACTCCCTCACAATGCACATTTCTCCAGAAAGGCCATCGCTAACCCCCCTCCAGGGTTCACCACCCGTTCGCAGGAGCCCGTTGCTCAGCCGACACTGGAGGAGCATCGGACTCGATCGAAACCCAATAACTCGATCACTTCCAATCCAAGAAGCCCGCACAACACTCTCAATTCTGTCTATTCCACCTCAGCCCAACTAGTCAACCATGGCTCCTCACGCGGAATCTAACAACGGCTCCTCGAACGGGTCGGTGAACGCTCCCGGCATCCCTGCCAGCGTTGCTCCCACCTTCAAGGTCAACTCTCCCAATGTCGCCTACACTGACACGGAGATTCGATCCAAATACACTTATCGAACCACCAGCGTCGAAACGGACGCCAGCGGAAACTTTGTCGCAACTCCCAAGGAGACTCCTTATGAGTTCAAGGTCCAGCGCAAGGTCCCCAAGATCGGCATGATGCTGGTCGGCTGGGGCGGCAACAACGGCAGCACCGTCACCGCTGGCATTCTCGCCAACCGCCGTAGCCTCAGCTGGGAAACCAAGGAAGGCCCTCGCCAGTCCAACTACTATGGCTCCGTCGTCATGGGCTCGACCCTCAAGCTCGGCACCGACGCCAAGACCAGCAAGGAGATCAACATCCCCTTCCACAACATTCTTCCCATGGTCCACCCCAACGACATGACCATTGGCGGCTGGGACATTAGCAAGATGAACCTTGCCGATGCCATGGACCGCGCTCAGGTTCTCGAGCCCACCCTCAAGGCCCAGGTCAAGAAGGAAATGGTCGACATGGTTCCTCTGCCTTCCGTCTACTACCCCGACTTCATTGCCGCCAACCAGGAGGACCGTGCCGACAACGTCCTCGAGGGCAGCAAGGCCTGCATGGCTCACGTCCAGCAGATCCAGACCGACATTCGTCAGTTCAAGGAGAAGAACGCCCTTGACAAGGTCATTGTCATGTGGACCGCCAACACTGAGCGCTACGCCGACCTGGTCCCTGGCGTCAACGACACTGCCGACAACCTGCTCAAGGCTATCGAGCAGGGACACGAGGAGATTTCTCCTTCTACCATCTTCGCTGTCGCCTGTATCCTCGAGGGTACTCCCTTCATCAACGGCTCTCCCCAGAACACGTTTGTTCCTGGCGCCATTGAGCTCGCCGACAAGCACAACGCCTTCATTGGCGGTGATGACTTCAAGTCTGGCCAGACCAAGATGAAGTCGGCTCTCGTCGACTTCCTCATCAATGCTGGTATCAAGCTTACCTCGATTGCCAGCTACAACCACCTCGGCAACAACGACGGCAAGAATCTGAGCTCTCAGAAGCAGTTCCGCTCCAAGGAGATTTCCAAGTCCAACGTTGTCGACGACATGGTCGAGGCCAACTCTGTTCTCTACAAGCCGGGTGAGCACCCCGACCACTGCGTTGTCATTAAGTACATGCCTGCCGTGGCCGACAACAAGCGTGCCCTCGACGAGTACTATGCGGAGATCTTCATGGGTGGTCACCAAACCATTTCCCTCTTCAACATTTGCGAGGACTCTCTCCTCGCCGCACCTCTCATCATTGATCTCGTCCTCATTACCGAGATGATGACGCGCATCCAGTGGAAGTCTGCCGAAGGCGACTTTAAGCATTTCCACAGCGTGCTGAGTGTCCTCAGCTACATGCTCAAGGCTCCCCTGACCCCGCCTGGCACCCCTGTCGTCAACTCTCTTGCCAAGCAACGCGCTGCTTTGACCAACATTTTCCGTGCCTGCATTGGTCTCGAGCCCGAGTCTGACATGACGCTCGAGCACAAGCTGTTCTAGGTCAAACTTGCGTCTTTTGTAGAGTCTGCGTCGTGCTATCGCTGCTGTTAATATCAGCCACTGCTGAATGATGAAATCAACCAAAAAAAAAAGTGAAAATGGGAAACCGAAAAAATAGATTGGTAGAGTATTAGAAGAAGCCCGGATCTTGGCTGCACTGTCAATAAAATACTTCTGCTATGCATTTTTGTTACTTGTGATTGCTGTTGAACGTGTATTTAATCGATATCAATTGAATAAGTAATATCGGACGGAAATAATCCTTGGAGGCAGACCAGGAAAGTGTTTTACGCGGATGCTCCACCAGCGATGCGTCGGCGCGTGCCAGATGGGGGCGGTTGGTGTCACACACACCGCGTCGCGCGTCACTACAATTAAGCCACACCCGTACCTCGTACCTCTCAAGCTACCTTCTTCCATACTTTCCCCAATCGCAATCATTTCTTTATCCAACACAGCACTAAGGCTTCTTTTTTACTATTCTATCTTTGTTGTTTGCCGCTGCCCCGACCTTACTGCAGCTACTCTATTCTTTGCATCACTCACACAACCCTCGACGCGCCATGTCCGCGCCGTCCTCTCCCGCGTCTTCGCGTGGAGGCTCGCCAGCTCCGATGCTAACGCCTCGCTCAAAAATCAGAGCTCTCCTCGCCACCGTCGACAGCAGTGACGAAGATGGTGGCGCTCCTACACAATTACAAAAGGCTGCCCGGCCCTCGGTCCGGTCCGCCCTGACACAGCTCGACGACGACGACGAGAGCGAGTCCGATGTCGAGGTCCGCCCCCGAGGCAGACTCGCGGCCCGTATGCAGACCGATGGCACATCCCCCAACGAAAAGAGGCCAGAAAACGCGCGCGAACGCGTAAAAAAAATGATGGAACGCGAGGCGGGTCAGCAAGAGACACAAGAGGAGGAAGACGGCGACGAGCTGCCCGTAGTTTCTCGCCGTCTGCAGCGTCGTCAGGCTCGCGAAACCACACCAGAACAAGAGCCCGCCCAATCAACTAGACGAAACCCTTCTAGCCCTGGTCTCTTTGTCTCGTCACCAGTCGGTCCCTCCCCATCCCGCAGCGTGCACCACAACGACCCTGATTCCGACAGCGACGATTTACCCACCCTCAAGTCGGACCGGTTCAGGATCCTCGTCGAGAAGAAGCGTGAGGAGCGCCTGGCCCGCGAAGCCAAGGAGGAAGCCGAGCGAGCCGAGCGCCGCGCGCGTCAGGAGAAGCTGTCCTCGGAACTCGACGCACTCGACTCCAATGACGACGACGTTTCCGACATTGGTGATGATGAGGGCGGCCATGCGTTGACGCAAAGGCTGGCCCGACCATCCCGCAAGGCCAGCAAAAAGGCCATCGATGAGATGAACCGCGAGACGCAGCGCATGGCTCGAAGCATGCAGCTGGCCCACGAGGCCAAGACGCGAAAGAAGATCACGAAGAGCGCCCTATTTGAGAGGTTCAACTTCCGACTGAACGGCCTGACGGCCGAGCCTGTCGCTCAACCTGCCAGCTCCAGCCGCCCTACTACGCCTCAATCCGATGTCGAAATGGCAGATCCCGAAACGCCGCCCAGCTCACCCCCGTCGGCCAACAAGACCGTTGTGGCTCCCATCAGCGCCCCCCAAGTTGAGGCAGATAGTGATGATGATATGCCCACCTTGGACCAAATTTCGAGCTCCGCCTCTGCTCAAGCTGTCGATAAGGGCAAAGGCAAAGCTATCGACGTCCCTGAAAACCTGCTATCTGAGACGGAGAAGGCGAAGAAGCGTTTTCGCGTGCGCCTTCCTAATCTTATCAAGACACTTGCTGCCGGCTCTGATGATGAACTTGAGATTACCGCCACAGTTCAAGACAAGGTCAAGGCTGTCTTTGACAATGTTCCCATCAAGGCTGCTCAGGAGTCGCGCTCATTGCAAGTGCTTCGTGCTCTTGCGCTTGTGCAATCCCCAGACAGAAATCAGAGCCGTGGAAGAAAACAGGTTGCGGGAATGACACACAACCAACTCCAAGCCTCTCTTCAACAAAAGGCAAGAGAACAGGCCAAGCTTGAGCGAAACCGTCGACTGGATCTTCTCAAGTCCAAAGGTGTTGTCATCCAAACTATGGAGGAGCGTGAGAAGCAAATGGAAGAGGTGGAGGATATTGTGGGCAAGGCTCGTGCGGAGGTCCAGCGCCTCATGGAGAAAGAGCGCGCAGCCGCCAAAAAGGAGCAGAAGGAGAACACCACCGCTGATCCTCTTGCCTGGGACGACAGTGACGATGAGTATGAGGCTTCCGAAAAGGCAGAGGAAGTGGAAGAAGCTATTGAGCTCTCCGGATCGGAAGACGAGGAGGGTGATGATGCTGATGATGAGAGTGACGCGGCCAACCCCATGTTCGATGATGAAGCTGAGGACTCTGACGGCCAGGAAGAAGCCGAGGCGAACGATGACGAGGATCTGGATGAGGCTGCGGTGCTGACCCGTCGTGGACGTGCCAGAAATGCTGCTGTAGTGCTCTCGGACGACGACGGTGAAGTTGAGATCAAGGCCACACCCAAGCCAGTCAGGTCAACCAACCAGATTTCACCTGCTACGGTAAACAACTACTCCCCCGCCGCGCCTGGCTCTGTTCTGCGATCTGCCAAGAAGACTTTTATCCCCGGTCTGCCCGTCGAGGGACCAGCTGGTCTTGGTCTGACCCAAATCTTTGCCGGCACCATGGACGACAGCCAGATGGGCACCGCCAACGGTCCTACTCAGTCGATGATGCCCGACTTTGACCAGTTCCCCGACTCCAACTTGTCGGCAACCATGGATCCGCCCGATGACAACATCATTATGGATTCGCAGCGTCCCGAGACGCAGCGTACTACTCAGGGAATCTACCTCGACATGTCTCAGTCGCAGATGCACGGTCTTGACAGTCTCATGCGGGACTACCTGGATGAGTCGCAGATTGAACTTTCCCAGGATGGTGGCTTCCAATCACATACGCCCCTGAAGGAGCGCTTTGTTGAGCCGCCATTCTCCACTGTAGCTACCGACATTGCTGGCACCATGGACGAAGATCCCCAAGCCTCGCCACTGTTGCGCCGAGGCAAGCTTCGCTGCAAGGCCGATGTTGAAAAGGCTCTCGAGCCTACCCAACCCATCTCAACTGAAACCCCCCTCACTGCCCAAGATGCCTTTGCCAAGCTCAATCAACAGGCTAGGCGAAAGGAAAAGCGGCGCCTCACGGATGCCTTCAACGCCAAAACCAGCAAGGCCAAGGGAATGGTTGAGCAGGAAGCGATGGAGTCCGATGACGAGTACGCTGGCCTTGGTGGCGTCGACGCTGAAGATTCTGATAATGAGTCGACCGCTTCCGTGCAGGAAATGATTGACGACGCCACGGCAAACGATGTCGACGACAGCAAGCTGGCTGCTTTCTATGCGTAAGTTACTTGGGACTACGCAAGTTGCACGAAAACTAACAAATTATAGTGACCGAGCTCGTGCCGAGGATGAGCAGCAGGTTGAGAAATTATTCAAGGACATTACCACGGGTATGCTGCGCCGTAAGCGCGGCGCCGACTATGACCTGTCCGACTCTGACGACGATGGGGAGGCGCGCCGACGCATGAAGCGCCGCCAGTTTGCCAAGATGCAAAAGGCGCTCTACTCAGACGAGCGTGTCAAGAAGATGGCCGAGAACCCCGGTAATATGGCTTTCCTGCGCACCATGGAGGACCAAGGCAGCGATGACGAGATGGACATTCTCGAGATTATGGAGTCGCCTTCCCAGCGCGACTCATCACAATCTCCTGCTCCCGAATCACAGAAGGCTGCGCCGCAGACGATCCCCGACAGCCAACCGCTCGCTCGTCAGGCGCTCGCCACCGCCACCGCCGCCGACAGCAGCGAGAATAATCGCGCGCCCGCCCACATGCGCAGGACCAAGACGGCGAGGAAGCCCTCCAACATTGGCGAGGTCCGCGAGACGCTGTCCAACCTGCTCGAAGAGCCCGACGCCTCGTTGATACCAGCAACCGAGGCCGGCTCCGACAGCGAGGACGAAGCCAGTGCACCGCGCAGCAGCGACAAGGAGAACCGCGCCCCGCGACGCACACCCGCCAGCATCATTGACCGCATCACCCTCAAGAGAGGCAACTCGCACGCGTCCAGCAGCACCGGCCGCGTTGCGTTTACCTCGGTCGCCTCGGCGTCCAGCGCCAGCTTCAAGGTGCCGGCGCTGCTGCGCCGCGCCACGACCAACTCGTCCATTCTGTCGACGGGCGGCGGCAGCGCGGCGAGCAGCAGCAGCCGCGGAAGCGCCGGCTTCGGCGATGAAAATATCAAAAAGACGGCCGGCAAGCGCAGTGGCGTCAGCAGCCGCGCCGTGCCCGGCACCAGCGAGTGCCACACGCGCATTCAGGAGAAGGAGCGCCGCCGCGAGGAGAAGAAGATGAAGGGCGCGGAGAAGAGACTCGGAGTGGTGGGAGGATTACTGGGCCGCGGGTCATTTGCATGATTGTATTTACTAGGTTATATTTGTATATTTTCTTTTTGGCGTTGATGGGCATGGCGGCACATTAGGCACGGCTGGCGTTTTGGCATACGAAATCAGGATGTACGGGGCGTTGCAAGGTATTATCATCATTTGCGAAAGCGAAACATAATTCGAATTTTGTCATACATGTGCTTTTATTCTGCGTGTTGGTAGTGTATATACTAAAGTAGGCAAATTCAAGTAACTGGAAGCCACGAATCAACAGCATCAACAGATGGCTGGCATTCTCATGCTGGCAAAAGCTGTTTGAGTGAAGGGTGTAGAGAACAAGGTAAACTGCAGAGAATTCAAAAGCATTGATGAGCGCTCATCAAGGAAGAATATCATTATCGTATATCGTTATGCAACTACTCTACTCCCAACGTCACCAGTCTAACCATGCGCCATGATGCCCGTCATCAAGTCCTCGTCTTCAATCTGGCTGTCAAATCCAACACCGGCATCCGGGCCCTCCTTATCAGACCTTCGTTGTTCTAGCACCACGTGCTTGACATACTCCTTCTTTTCGCTCAACCGGTCGTTGACCTCCTTGTACTGATTGTTGAGCGCGGTGATGCGGGCGAAGGCGGTCGCGATGTCGCGTGCAAAGTCTTGCTCCGTGAGTACAGGGCCAGGGCCGCCGAAATGGAGAAAGCCCCCGTCCTCGCTGTGGTTCACGTCCAAGGTGCCCTGGAGCATGCCCGAGGCGAGCATGCCCTGGATGAGCGAGATGACGCGCGCGTTCGTCGCGAGCGGCTCTCCGGTTTCGGCGCTGCAGGTTAATTTTCGGACTTGGGCAATGGACACTTCGGTAAAGATTTTGCGCAGATTGATAATCTGCCATTTTTGGTAGGCGGACAAGACTTCGGCCACTAAACTTGTAGTGCCGTCATCTTGCCATAGTTTGACGTTCTTGTCTGTATACTCCTTGAAATCATGTGCTTTTGGTGAGGTGAACAGGCTGGCCAGTTCCTTGTACTCGGCGCCGAGGGGGTTGTAGGTGGCCACGGCCGCGGAGGCCGTGTAAGAAGGCAGTGTAGGCACTCTGCCAGTTTTCAAAAGCCCAACTAGTACCCATCTCTTGTAGCATTCCACCATAATCCTACTCATGCCACGGTCTTTGACAGGATGTGTGACAACTTGTTCTAGAGCGGTGAAGGCCTTGTCCCAGTCTCGACGGCTAGAGTACGCAATAGATCTGAAAAAGTTGTACTCCAGCACGTGGGCACCCCGAAAACTGTCTGTGAGACCGGTCGTTATGGAAATGTATGCTGCAGGGCCGAGACCGGGGTCAGAAAGCGGTCGTGAATCTCGGGCCTCTCGTGCTTCCCTGTGAGACGAGACGATCGGATAGCCAGTGATTTCCTTGTCCAGAACTTCGAGCGCCGGTTCCAAGATATTCGATTCGACAGCGAGCTTGGCGAGGAGTAAATGTGTAGATGTGAATAAGCTCCCGGTCGGGTCGAGGCGGAGGATGGCGGCAACGAGCAGCTCGACAGACACAGCTGGCTATGTTCAACGTTAGAGGGCAGCCAACCTACGCTTGCGAGTCAACGTACTGGGAAAAATGCCCCAGAGGCAACGGCCTCTAGCAAGTATCGGAATGTAGTGCCAACGTAGCGTACTTGCACAGGGTCGAAGCTCGTCAAGAAGGGCACAATCCTCTCGGCCAGCGTTAACTTGTCCGTCACCGTTAACTTGTCGAGGTTACTCCATCCTATGCCAGAGCATATAATCATGTCTATGAGGTACAGGTACCCGATTGAGTTTTTGGATGGGTCGATGACCTAAAGTGTCGAGGCGAACGTTAGCCGGTTGCCTTGTGTTAGCAAACGAAGGGGACGAGAGAGCGTTTACCTCAAATGCTCGCCGTGGGTCTTCGAGAAGCGCCGCCTTGGACGCCTGGGGGATCGTATTGGTATTAGCAATATATCCTCTGATCTCGGCGTCGCGTCTCTTGGCGCTTTCGTTGGGGCCCGGGTCAGCCAGGCTGTTGAGCGTTGCGAGAGCCTCGTCCATGCTGGCGGATTGTTCTTGTTCTGGTAAAGAGGGCGAGCTGCCCGCGAATCAATGTGGGCTCGCGGCAAAGGCCTATCAAGATTCGAAACGGATACAATGGAGATAATTCTCGAAATACAATCGTCTTGTCGGATGTTGAAGAATCACAGTTGTTGTGTTTGTTTGGCGGGGGTCGCGAGATCCAATGAAGGTGGCCGATGTTGAACCGGAGCTTACCTCTAGGCAACTGTTAGTTACCTTGATACCTACCTCTTACCTACCTGCGCCCCGCCGGTGCTAAACGCTTGATGGTACTTGTACCGCACATCACACAAGTTGATCACCAAAGAATTAACTGGAAAATGTGTAAAGACATATATTCAAAGCGCCAAATTCCAAAAATTACTATACAATTAGTCTAATTTGTCCCGTTCCCAATGTGTATCCCTGTCATTTGTGCCTCTTGGGCTTTAGTAGTCACCAAACTGTCGTTTCCTGGGTAGTACCATGTCTCTGAATCAAACTTCGTCTCCAAATATCCGAACGAATGAACCCCGTCCGTGTTTTCCTAATAAGCACGCCTGGGCCCTCGCACAAACGGAACGATGCCATTTTGCATCCATTGGGAGCCCGAAGTCCTCCAATTGGTCGGTCCCGGCGCAAGGCCGGCTTGCGCGTACACCGAGTCTCTATTCGCTGGCAGGCTGCTGCGCTGCAGCTCAAAGGTGGTCACTGGCTGATGGCGGCGACCGCGCGCTGCTTCCTGACTGCCTAGAAGTGGCGTCGCAGACCCCAAGCGCGTTGCGGGTGAGGATGACGACGGCTGCGGTGGCGGTGGCGCGTCCAGGGCTCGACGGAGCGAGTTTTGCTCTTCCATACGCTTCTTCCACCATGCGGGAAATCCGTGGAAGAGGCCGAGAGAGCGTTGCGTGGCTTCGTCCTGGGGCATCTCGTGCTTGAACTTGCATCCCTGCTGGGTGAAAGCACAGACGCCTTCATGAATCCACTTGTCGCAATATACCTTGACCTTTCTGTTCAATTTGGGACTCGTCGCAACGATGCAATCGATTTGTTTCTGTAATTGATACTGTTAGTAAGCAGTTTCTTGAGGCATATGAATGATGCGCAGCTACGGTACCTGAAGGTTGTCTGCCAATGGCGATGACTGTTCAAGTATTATTAGCTGCTGATATCTAGTCGTTGCAAGGAGGACGGCTCACCTTTGGAGCGGAAAGTTGACGGTATTCCCTTGATTTCTGGAGATGTAGCTTTTCGATCGGCTCAAGGATCACCATGCCGTCGTGCTCCTCTTCTCGTGATGGGATTCCCTTCATCGGAGGCAGCATGTCTGCCGGTATTAACCGCGTAAACTGCCCATCACCACGATCGATATAGTAACTGTACGCGTTCGACACATTTCCTTCAAACGCGTAATTCGTGAATCCGGTACCCGCGGGCAGTGGCTCAAAGTTGGAACCCACGCTCGTTTGCGACGACGGCGACGACGTGTGCTGGCTGGCCGTCGTCGTCGAGCTGCCGCCCACGCCATCCAAGTGCATGCTGCCACGCGAGCTCAGTGACGCAGTATCCACCGGCGAACTCTGCGACGAGTGCTGCACATGCCAGATTCTATTCATGATGTGACCGTCGTGTGGTTGTTCCTTGTACTGCGGCAGGAAAGCAGAGGTCGTGAATGTTGATGCTTGGTCAGGCAGCGTCGATGCAGACGGGGCGTTGTAAAACGCCATGTTCGTCAGCGGTCTCGTGACAAGAGGGAAGAGGCGGCGATGAACAAGTCGAATGAAGATGCGTTTGATGCAATTTTAAATACGGTGCCTAAAAAAGGGCTGGATCTTGGGACGGCGGTTTGAGCTGGTCTTTGCGTTGGGTGCCTTTCCGCTCGCCCTGGCCCGAGAGCTGGCAGAGCGTGACACAAGACCGTCCAGGCGCCCGCAAGGTGATGTTATATAGGAAACGCTAGGGAAAGAAGAGAAAAAAAATTGCTTGTGTAGCGGTCGCGGAAGACGAGGTGCGGAGAGAAAAATAAAAGGGAAATGTCAGATTCTACATCGAGGAGTCACCGTATGACAAGACATGCAGGTTCACTGGGCACTTGACATGGACAAGGCTCGCCACACGCATGGCTGCCTGGGCTACTGCCTGGCTGGCTGCAGGCGGACCACCGTGAGGCAAACGCCAGGCCGGGTAATGTGAATCATCAAGGAAGGGTTATGGTGGTTAGATCATTTCTATGGGCTATACTGAAGCAGAGTCTATAGTCCTCATAAGTTAGCCAAATCGCGTAAGCAAGGGCTGCTGTCTCGTCGTCAATCATCCACCTGCAGCCTCAGCAGCTATTCCCGCCCAGCTATGCATGTAGTGGCAAGACATTCATTTGGCAAAAGCAATCATCTATAGGCGAGCTTTCGGTGTGCAGCAGACACCTCCCGCAGCTTTTCATGCAAGGCATACAGCCGTATTAGCTTCACTGATCGTTGCTCCTCGTTCCGGACCACTTCATCAATCGCCAACCTGATCTCCACCTCTGATCCCAGGCGGGATACGTAGGCCCAAAACTCATTCGGTACCAGTGTCGGCGGCGAAGGCGCCGCCGCCATTCTAGTCACTCGCTTGATTACGCTGGGGGCGTGGCCAATCCGCTCGTGCCGATGGTCTGCTTGACCACGGGCGGCGTTTGTGCCTCCTGGGATCTTACCGTCTGGTTGGGCCCCGACGACGCCGGGCGGGACTCGGGCGCGTTTTTCTTTGATTGGCCCTTGCCGTGAGGGGATCGCCGTGATTTGGATACGTTCGCCTTGGGCGGGGCGCTGGGTCGTGTTTGTTTGCTCTCTGAGCTCGCGCTGGCCGGCGTCTTTTTCTTCTGCACGGGGGTACGATTAACTTCTCTTCCCTTGGTCGTAATTTTCTTGGTTGGGGTCGGTGAGGGAGTTGGTAGCTGTGCCGCGTTTCTTCGACGGGGTTTACCTTTTGTAAGCTCGCGTTCATCTTCAGAGTCGGTGGAGCTGTTGCCGCCGGAAAACTCGTCGCTATCGCTAGAGGCCCCTTCCTCTCCCTTTCGGGCCTCAGCCTTTGATGTTGTGTAGTCGATTTTCTGGTCCGAGTTAGTCGTTCAACTCCATTACAACCTAACGATAAAACATACCGTGCGTCGCCGTCCACCGCGGCCCAGGACTTCACGGTTAGCTTCTGCCTTGCGACGAGCCTCCTCTTCTCTCTGCGCAATGATCTTGTCCCATATACCTGAGTTGAGAGGCACGGGGGCTTCAGCTTCGGCTTCGGCTGTTGGTAAGCTGTCGAATCCAACCTTGTCCGAGTCCCAGACGCGGGCATAGGCAAATGGAGTCTCTCCAGAAGGGTTCTCTTCCACATTGGCCTGCTCCATTTGTGATCTGTCGAGCAGGCTATCCACCATTGCGGATGTATACTCAATCTTGGTCTTTTGGTAGTCGTCATTGAACAAAGCAGCGGCACCGTGTTTGAGGATAGACTCGAGGTCCGTGCCTTCTAGCTCGTCGTCGTCCATGCTCTCGATGAGAGCATGGTCCAGGGCCATTTTGCCCCTGCCAACTTGGACAATTCGCTCTTCGACCGAGTCTTTGGTCATGAATTGGAAGCATAGAACTTTGTTTTTCTGTCCGATTCGATGGGCCCGAGAGAGAGCTTGCAAATCCTGGTGCGGATTGAAGTCCGGGTCCATGATGATGACAGTATCGGCAGTTGCCAAGTTGATGCCAACGCCGCCGGCGCGTGTGGAGAGCAAAAAGGCAAATAGGGGCGAGTCTGGTTCGTTGAAAGCGTCGATTCGCTTTTGTTTTTCGAGACTAGACATACCGCCGTCAAGTCTTTTGTATGCGCAGCCAATACCGACCAGGAAATCCTCTATGATATCGAGCTGCTGTAAAAATTGGCTAAATATGAGGACTCGATGTCCGCGCTCTTTCAGCTTCGGTAGCATGATTTCAAGAAGCAGAAGCTTTGCGGAAGCCTCAATGAGATTGCGAAACATGACAGACGGGTCATGGTGTCTCTCCTCAATGTTCTCAGAGTACATAAAGGGGTGGCAGAGACATTTGCGCAGCTGCATGAGAATATTATTGAGACTGCCTCGGTCGGTCTTCCTCCTCATCTTGCTGTCCGCAAAGATGGCCCTGATGAGCTCGGGGTTCTTGGACATGATACTCTTTGACAGCTTTTCCTGCACAACCGTCATGGTTACTGGTACGATGATCTGCGCCATTGGTGGAAGAAACTTGAGCACGCCGGCCTTGGTACGTCGAAGGAAATATGGTCTGATTTTCTCATGTAGTAGGGGTAAAGTCTCCTTGTCCAGGACCTCAAACTCCGCATCAAGTTTCGCGGCATCTTGTGTCGTATCAATGAACTGGACCAGATTGAATAACTCGCGTTTGTTGTTTTGCAGTGGTGTGCCAGTGAGCAGCAGGCGGAAAGGTATCTTCATGCTACGCAAGGCTTGGTAGAGAAGATTCTGGTCATTCTTGAGACGTTGGCCTTCGTCCACGACTAGACCAGCCCATTTAACAGACCTGAATTGCGAAGAAGTTCGAGGGTCCTGGGCTGAATCATACGACATGATGACGACGTGTGCGCGCATGCTGCCTCCATTCTCAGGAAAGAGCTCATAACGGTACGTGAGCTCTTGAGACTCTTTACCTCCGTGATAGGCAACAACTCTTAGGTCTGGAGCCCATTGCCTGAACTCCCGCCGCCAGTTGGGACAAGTGGCGTTAGGAACAACAATAAGGAATGGCCAGCACTGGCACGAACTGTTAGCATGCTCAATGTTCAGGGAGGGAGAATAGCATACCTTGGGGCTATCCTGCACCAAGCTTGTCACCATACCAACAACCTGCACCGTTTTTCCGAGACCCATTTCGTCGGCCAGAACAACACTGCGACTATGGTGATAATTTCCGAGCAGCCAGTTAAGACCTTCTATTTGGTAGCCCATCAATTTACCGCGGCGTATACCTTTTGGCTGAGCGTCTAGCTTTGCAAACTCTTCATCCTTGAACTCTTCGACACGTTTTCGGATGACTGCTTGCGGTTCCTGCTCGAAATACTTTCCATTAACATATTCACCGTACGCTTCAAGAAAGGCGGGGTAAAGAGCACTCTTGTCCGGCGTCGGAGGTGTATCCCATACGACGTCCTCGTAACCGAGGCCCTGGAATTTGACGAATATGCGACGAACGTGCGACAGGTTATTCAGCATTGCTTCTTTGGAGCGATGACTTGGTGCATTTGAGTCCATCTTGGCCACAAGAATGATGTCCGGGGCCAAAAACTCTTCGGGGATGGCCTCTTTGTCAGTCATCTTCAGCAGACCTTGTTCCATATCACGTTTGGCAAACGCTTTTCGCGATAGAGCCGCAGCGACACCAAAAACCCAAGCGCCGGGAAGCCAGGTACAATGGGCATATGACTTGGTCTCCCATTTGATGAGATATTCCTTGTCGTCGTCCGAGATATCTTGCGATAAAGGAGGTCGCTGTCCCTTGGCAGGCGAATAGGGCGTAGTTGGTCGCCATGCGACAAGACGATGGATCTTGTGTGTTGTGCCTAGACATTCTGAACAGCGCCATTTCTTAGCATAGCTGCCAACGTCTGATTGAATGCCTTCCTGCGACGGTACGTGATTAGAATGCCAGCCTCTGTGACATGTCTGACACCGAAAAAGAACATTTTCAGTGTTGTTGACCAGTTCAGGCGCCACAGGCGTCACTGGGTCAACTCCATCGTTCTCCTCGCGCAGTTTCTCTTCTTGACGGGCGGTGCGTTTCGGGCCGAATGCTGAGCATGACAGTCCTGGACTTTTGCATAGCTGGCACATGTCGTGTTTCGGAGCCATTGGGTCCCTGGTGGTGTAGATTCCGATGCAGAATTTGCATTGTAAGACAAACGAGTCTTTGTCGACCTTGGTAACCAGGTGCTCTCTAGCGCTGCGAAGGCCAATACAGGCTTTGTGGTATGTGAGGCTACAGCCTTGGCAGTAAATAAGTTGGCCTCGTAGCTTAGAACCAGCGCAAAGATGACATCTCTGCATATGGGCGAGAGCGAAGGGGGATTCGGGTTCAACGGGCTGAAAGATTTCCTTGACTGAAACAATCTTGGGCGCGCCAGGCTCCTTCACGACGGCGATTGATTCGAAGTCATCGTCAGAGTCATAATCATCGTTTATGCCCGCCGTATTCTTCGTTGCTCGCGAGGATCTCCTGAGCGGTTCAAATTCGATGTCGGAGCCTCCACGAGACGGTCTTGTACGGCTGGGAAGAGACCTCTTTGTGCGCCCTCGAGTAGGGCGTCTACCCCTCTTCGGTGGTGCCAAGTCAGAGATGATAGGCATAAAATCACCATCACTGACGTTATCCGGAGCTTCGAGGGTAGATTCAGGGCCATAGGATGGGTTGCTCGCACGGGGGCGTAATGATCTGGCAGGAGGAGATGATCGGCGGCCTTCCTCGTCTAACTGCCCTGGCTCTGGACGCCGAGTTACAACGATTCTTGGTTTTTGTGATGCTCGCCGAGAGGAGCGCCGAGTAAATTTCTTTACTGACTGGTCACTCTCTTCTCCATCCAGCTCCATAGCATCAGATTGGAAATCCTCTTGTCCAGACTCAAAATCGGAGTCCAAATTGTGATCTCCATGCTTGCGCTTTCTGGAGTGTTCCGCCATGTTGGAGCTATCGAAAAACTCGTCCAAGGCAAATTGACCGTTTCTGAATTCAAGGAGATGATCGTGTGTTATCTTGGATTTGTTAGATGACTGTGCGGAGGGGAGAAATGGAAACACGAAACAAGATGGTTTTAGTAGAGAAGATGTAGCGGTATTGAGCAAAGGGGAAACCGTGTGCATAGGTTGAAGTTGCGATGTGCAAAGAGGAGAATAGCTTTCCTCCGCTGAGTCGCCAGCAGGTGAGAGTTATGTGAAGAAGGGCGGCAGGGAGCCTGGGCAGCGGTGTGAAGACAGCGTGCTGCCAAGGTGCATCAAATGTGATTGAAATAAACTTACAGTTTCAACGCGTCCATCAGTAAACTCGACATGGTAGGCGTCAGCGTCCTCAACCTGGCCGCGAATATGCTCCACTACTTCCGACAGAACGACAGAGTAGTCCTCGAGTGAAGATTCGGGTAGAGTAGCTAGTTGTATCTCGATTTTGACGGCATCTGCCGGAAACTCGGCATCAATGTCAAGAGTATCTTGCGAAGCGTCTGATTCGCCACCAGCCGTCTCATCCTCGTGGTCCACGCGTTGGATAGCCTCTGGTAGCAAACTGTCATCAACGGTCATATCTGAAGAAACGCTGCCGTTGGCTTTCGCAGGGAAATAGCGGTCAGATTCCCATGATTGGGTAAGTTCTGGGACAGCGTCTGGCATTGGGTCATCAGTACAGCTTGCAATCTGCTCAAGCTGAGCGCTTCCAGCCTTCACCTCCTTCACCTCAGTTCCTTGTTCGTTAAACAAGCCATCTTCGCCATTGTATAGGTTGTCGTCTCCCCTGGCGCCATTGGTATCGGCAGCAATGTGCTCTGTCTGCACCTTCCCGGCCTCGATTAGGGCATGTTGCTCTTCAGCGTGGTTTTCAGCATTTCCCGCGACAATAGCTTCTTCGGAATCCTCATGAAAAACGCCATCGATACCCATATCCGTCAAGACAGCGCCCTCTGTGTCAACGCGGTCTAAGCCATCACGCGTCAGCCAGTCAAAGCTGTCGATGGAGCCATCCAGACCATCCAAGTCCCCTAGATTGTTCATTGCTGCATATTATGGTTCGACGAATTCATGTCCAATATCATCGGTCTAAGACAATCAGCAAACAGATGAAGCAAGTGAACTGCAATGATGAATAGACGTGAGGCCAGGTTGAAGTGCTTCACGTCGCGCTCCACTTATTAGGTAGTGAAGGGCCAAGGGGCCTTGTCGTAGCTTTTCGTGGCTGCCATTGGTTTGGTGGTGTTTTTTATTATGCCACCACCCGTGGTACATGGGACGTGGGACCGCTCCACTATGAAGACAAAAACAGTAATTTTCTTCTGACCGCCTAATGTTACCCCTGTGCTGGACGCGGCAGAAAATACACTTAGTAGAAAAGTTTCCATGTCGCAAGTCTGCGACTGAAATTGTGCTTACTATATAGTACTAATGAACTGCTGGTACTGAGAAACTGGTCGCATTATGCAATGAATCGCCTTTTCTGTAGCGGTTATTCCGCTCCCATTCAACAGGCCCTACGGCGCACGGCGCAACTTGCTGTGTCCGCTCCTGTGCTTGCCGCTCGACACGCCAGTCTCTCAGCCATCCACCGAGGCCTGCGCCGGTCCGAAAGAGTACAGTATGGTTCTGCCCGACCGCAGGAGGGCTCGTCTCTTGACAACAGTATGAGAGCAAGCAGACAAGAGGACGGCGGCCGAGGTGGCCGAGGCGAAAGGACCGCACGTGCAAATACCGGTGCTGCCTCTCCTCGCCGGGCTGAGAGAATACAATATGGCTCTGTCCGGCCGCGGGACGAGTCCTCTCTCGAGAATAGTATGAGAGCAAACAGGCGAGACGATAGCGGCCGAAGCGGCCGAAGCGGCCGAAGCGAAAGAACCGCACGCGCAGTTGCTGGGGCTGCCTCTCCTCGCCAACAGGCCAAGCTGCGCAAGAAGCTCACACGCAAGGAGCATGAGCGGCAAAAGGAGCAGGAAGAGGAGCCGAGCAGACAGACGCGCCGAAAACGGTTCCTGAACCCCGAAAAGGAGTTTGGGAAAACCAGCCTGGTCTACCAGCTCAAGCACGGCACTCTCAAGAACGAGGTGCCCATCGACAGTCTCCCGCAGCCTGTGCGAGCACGACCACGGGACGGCTTTGGCGCCGAGGGAGCAACCCCTCGAAACGACTCTCGAGACGCGGACAGGCAGACACAACGACAAGGATGGGATAGGCGAGCGTCTGGCCCAGGTCGGCCTCGCGACGGTGATGGGTCATCGCCGCGACAAGCGTGGGACAGACCAGTGTCTACTCGTAACCAAGGCCGTGACAGCCGACCACAGGAGCAGCGATCAAGCAGAGACTATCGCGACAAACGGCCCGATGCCGCCAACGACTCGGCCGAATACTCCAGCGCCGCTCGCAAGATGATGCCCCTGGCGATCAAGTACACCACAGCCGCCTCGCAGTTTCTCTATGGACGATCGGTGGTCCAGGCGGCATTGGAGCAGTCCCGACGAACCCTATACAACCTCTACGTCTACGGCGGAGAGAACCGCGTCGACTCCTTTGCCAACCAGTCCATGATTCGGCTGGCCAAGACCCGGGGCATTCCCGTCACAGTCGTGCCCAACGACCAGCAGCGCCTCATGGACAAGATGAGCGTGGGACGGCCGCACAACGGCTTCGTGCTGGAGACGTCGCCCCTCCCGCAGATTCCCGTGACGGCGCTGGGCAGGCTCGAGGAGGCCGGGTCCGCCCCCGACGGGGCCGCCGGCTTCCACATCACGCGCGGCCACCAGACGCGCGAGGAGGAAGGCATCAACGGCACCGCCACCTTTATCCGGCGACCAAGCGGCACCCGCACGCCCAACCCCCTCGTGCTGCTCCTCCACGAGATCCTGGACCCGGGCAACCTCGGCGCGCTGCTGCGCACGGCCAGCTACCTCGGCGTCGACGCCGTCGGCATCACCCAGCGCGGCTCGTCGGCGCTGACGCCCGTGGTGCTCAAGTCGGCCGCGGGTGCCGTCGAGGAAATCACCCTCTTCTCGGTGGACGCGCCCGCCGCCTTTCTGGAGGCGTCGCGGTGCGCCGGGTGGGCGGCGTACGCGGCCGTCGCGCCGCCCGAGGCCAAGCTCGCGCGCATGCACGGCGCCAAGTTTGTGTCGACCGACGACGTCGAGCGGCGCAGCCCGCTGCTCGACAAGCCCTGCATCCTCGTCCTCGGCAACGAAGGCTACGGCCTGCCGCGCCAGATCAAGGTCGCGGCCGACTACGAGCTGTCCATTCCGCGCGTCGTCGAGGACAGCTGCATCGATAGCTTGAATGTGAGCGTGGCCGGCGCGCTGCTGACGCATGCGTTCATCAAGGGCGCGCTGCCGAAGAAGTCGGCGAGCCCGTTTGACAGCATGGCGGTGGCGCGGAAAGAGAACCAGGAGGGCAAGGAGGACGCGCTGTTCTGAGCGTTATGTATATCATTGTACTATCACTGTACTATCAATCATGTACCATTACATATATAGAATCGCATATTTATCCATCTCGAAGAAGGACATAATTCAGAAAGACTCTAAAAAGAAGCATGGTTTGGGTGTGCAGCAACGGCCGCCAACGGGTCCAAACGGTTTCTCCACTGTATTACCAGCACTCTGTACCTAACTAGCAGTCTAGGTAGGTACCTAGACAAAGTTCCAGGACAATGACAGCAGCCACACCACCATAAACAGACTTCAAGTTAAGGGGGAATTTCTTTTCACCCATGTTCCATTTCTTCAATTCGAACTCCGCATGATTTCCAACGCTTCCCTGCCGCCATCATAAGATGGACAATTTATTCGGGCCGTGCTTATGGTGGGGAACGCTAAAATCACCCCAGCCACCAGCATTTATCGGCTGGATGCCCAAAAGTTGGACAGAAGCTCTTGTGTCGCCCAGGTTTGTTGCCTTTTTTTTTCTTTTTGTTACATAGCCTGTATTTATTCTTAACGACGTATTTTTGAAATCGTATCAGAAATTCATTTAAACTGCAGTACTGTGAGCTGGGTTCGCTGTACTTTACCACTCTCGCGCAGGCGCAGGCGCAAACACAAATCTACACCGACTGGGACTCGCAAATCGCCAACGACACGAGGGAAAGGAGGAGCGCAACACGACGCAGCTCGACACCATGCTTCTCCTACCCGCCTCGCTGCTCTCTCTCGTCTTGCAGGTCTCGTCCTCCGCCGCGGAGCGCTCGCCCACCGCCATCCGCAAGGTCGCGCCCGATGCCAACGAGAAGATCCTTCCCGAGCACCTCGCCTTTGCGTCGCTGCCATTCCACGACGCCTCCCTCGACGCGCGGGACTTCCTCGACGCGCAAGACGTCCGCATACCCCAGCCGCGGCCGTACCGCCCCGCATACGCCGGTCATGTGGACTCTGAGACGGAGCGCAACGTCCTACGGCGCGGCGCGCACGCCCTCGCGCTGCTCAACCGCCGCGCCGCGGCCTGCCCCAGCGGCATGGGCGGGTGCGACAGCATCGGGCAGCCCAACAAGTGCTGCCAGGACGGCACCGTGTGCACGCGCGTCGA